GATTCCTTTAGTAAACTGAAAGAAACTACCTGAAAAGGTAATTTCACAGGGAAGGATGCTTTGACATCTGAGCTATACATGGTGCTGTTTGATGTGATCTGATTATAGCCTTGATATGTGTTTTCATTCAAAGACTGCAGCTGGTGATGACTTAGTTACCATTTGTCAAGTTTTTGCAGTATTAAGGGGATATCTTTGCAACTGTCTTAGTCCCCAAGTTACAGATAGGACAGAGCCCAGGCATTCCTGACGGGGTGACTCACCCTTTAAAAGGGCTGTGTTCTTTCTGTTTGTTTCCATCAGAGCACAACAGGGAGTCTGCTGGAACCTCTGCTTGAATAACTCAGGGGATGGTAGATTGGCAAGAACGGTAGGAATTGGCAGGAAAAAATGTTTTCCCTGAGCTGTGTAGGTATATCTGTGCAAGTTTGCATGAGTTATTGCTACCAGTATTAGGTTCCTCCAAAGAAAACAACTTTGGATAGGAAAGGTGGAGGGAACAGAATAGGAGTAACACTGGCAGAAATAACACAGCTTTTTCTTATTCTCTCTCCGTGAAGCAATAAATGCTGTGATGACTTCTTTATCTCATGACTTCAGACAATTCTGGGGTCTTACGAAATATATGGCAGAATCAGGATATGACAATGGAAGAGGTGAAGGAGAAATCTCCCAGGTCCTGGATATCTCACATCCTTTCAGCACCACAATGATAAATAAGAGATTGTTGGAGCCTGCAGAAGACATGTGAGCTAAGAGCTGATATCATGTTTCTTTCAAGTGATATGAATGTTTGTGTTCTCCTGCGATCATGGTTGCATGTAGCAGACAAGAAGAGAAAAAGAGGTCTTGTGATGCAGTATTCAGGGGAAAAAGATCTGAAGAAATTCAATTCTATTTAGATATATCACTTCTCTTCCAGCCTCTAGATGTACTTGCTCATGTTCTAGCCCCTTTTCTGAACTTGACAGTTCGCAACAATTCACAGTTCCAGTGTTATGGATAGCTACAACAGGGACAGCAAGAGAAACTAAACTCTGCTGTGACAATGTCACTTCTAGTCACCTGCCAGCCACAGCTGAGGTGATGACATGATCTGACTTTAGTCTTTGGTGAGAATTTCTTGAAAATGAAAACTGTGATCCTTCCGCTGAAGGATAACTACCTTCATTCTTGTGGTGTGTTGTTTTTTGTTTGTTTGGTTGGTTTTTGTTTTTTCCTTTCTTTGTTGTGTGGTCTGAGCTGTTGTACAGTGATGTAGGTGCCCATAGCAAGAGTCTGAAAAATCTCTTGAAAGTTAATTCCCTTTATCTTGGCTGTTATCTCCCTCTTTTGTGAAGCCTGGATTTAGATCGCTATAATGCAAGTGGATCTGGAAATTGTAAAGAAATGGTGTGTTCTGTCAAATTCCTATCCCATTTCATCATCCTTTTTTATGAATGCTTCCAATAAGAAAGCATTGAAAGAGGTGTCCTTAGAATACAGGGGCAGGGAGTGCTTATCCCTGTACTTCTTACAATAAAATAAGAAATAATTTCATATTCCAGGACTTTGGTATTTCTGCATTGATCTATCATTTCTAGTCTCAGCCGGTAATTTTAGCCTATATAGTTCCATAGGTAAATCTTTCGAGATTGGTTTGTTTTTAACTCTCAGGATTTTTCTTTTACCATGCTTTCAACCAGCTTGCAGGAAATACCGTACATTGCGAGGAGCATCTCATTACCAGCACAGAGTCTTGCTCCTTGATCTGTCTAAGGCCGTGACAGTAACAACTAAATGGTTGGAGGTCATGAAAGCACCCATGAGACGGAGGATCTGTACTTATGCTTTAGCATAGGGTTAATGAGAGCAGTGATAGATTACAAGTTTAGCAGGTGCTTATGTGTCTCCAGTACAAGTGTAAGTATAGCTCAGATTCTGGCAAGAACTGCTGGCCTCAGATATCTGAATGACAGGATTTCGGACCTCACCTGTGCTCTAAACAGAGGCAGCCAGTAGATAACTCAGATGTTGTTAAGGTCCTACAACAGATGCCTTTCAGGTGTACAATGAGATATTATTTTCTCTCATTTTTAGTCTGCTCATACATCTTCTCTGAGGTATGAGCAATTTACATTGGCTTTTGAAAAGTGCTTTTACTCAGACGTTTTACATGGATGTTGTGTCAACAGGCAGACAGAAAGGCACCTGGCTGGGTTTTGTGCTGGTTTCTTTGCATCTGTTGTTTTCAGATTTTGCTAGCAGATAACCTCAACAAACATGAGTTATATAACAGGAGTCGATTTTTCAGAAACCTGTTACTGTATCTGAGGAAGGATCCATGGACTACAATAAGAAACAAGAACAAGAAATGCCAAGTTTTAATCCCAAGAAAGCTCCAGCTTGGACTCCTTGCCCAAATCCTTCTTCTCACATAGGACTAAAAATGAGTCTTCCTCTCTCATACCATAGTACTGGAGGCCTTTATGAAACTAAAGGGTAATGTTGCACTGAAAATTATGATAGTCCCAGTTTAGGCTCTTGTGATCTTGTTTCTCATCAACTGAACCTATTTAAACCCCATCCAGACCTCAATCACTTTGACTATTCTACCTGAAATATATTCTTGTAGAACTGGACAAATCCTGTTTCAGTATTTTTTGGTGTATCCAGTGTCTCTTTTGTGTTCTTGTATAGGTTTGTGCTGAAACAAATTCTCTGATTATGGTGTAAGTAGCTCTTACATCAGTTTAAGTGATAGGAGAGTCAGTCCTCAGGACAATTTTCTCCTTCAAAAGTGCATAAGCCAAAGAGTCTTGCAGGTCTCATCTCAGATTCCTCTCTGACAATATTTTGGAATGCTGTATCAACCAGTTTTCTGTTTCTTCTTTGCTGAAGAGAAGTAAAACTTGAAAGAGTTGGGCTGGAATTAATCTCATACATCTGTTAGTTAGACATCTAGTCTCCCTCCATTGTTAAGTGGATGAAGAAATGAAATAATTTATTGTACTGTTTTGTTTGAAAATACATAAATCTAAATATGCCTCTTCAGATAGGCATGTCTAGATGACAGTTCATCTGTTTTTCTTCTCTATTAACTGTCCAATGAGGTTAGGCAGATAGCTTAATGTTTGTTACAGGAGATGAATGTGATAATGGTGTTAGGTTATTTTAAGAGACAATTCATTTAGGAACGTAGCTAGGCTGTTTGTGATCGTTCACAAGAAGGTTAAATACAGAGAAATATCCTCACTAGGTTTATTGAAGTGGATCTCAGACTATAAAAAAAAAAAAAAAGAATAAAAAACAATTGAGGCTACTACAATTTGTGGTAGTTCAAAGGTAGTTTTGGTAGTAGTTAAATGGTAGTTTATTCCATTCAAACTCAGCTAACATCCTCTTCATAAATTCTTATTTTTAAATCTATAGTGCCTGAGCTCTATCTGTACAGGCACCTGTTCTTTCATAAAGGTCTTCTGAATGTTTCTGTTCCTAATTGAACTGTTCAGCATGTACTCGAGAGATGCTCCACAAAATAATTGGACACTTGCTGGTTAGCAACCAAGGATGCAGTCCATATGGAAGGAAACAGGCAGATAGCTGGGCTTCTCTGAAATATGTTTTCCACATGGATTACAAGACTCAGCCTCCTTCCCTGATATTATAGAGTCCTCTATATCTGCCTTGTGTGCCAACAAAGGCATGAAGGACAGTGCTGCACATTGTACTCAATCCAGTGTACAGAAAGGGATGGTGTGAGTCATGGGGAGCCAGGGCTCTGTCAGTGCCAACTTTTAGCAAAATTACTTCGTCTCAGGTATGTAGGATTCACCGAGAGCAAGGCTGTGTTTTTGCAAGCTGTTTGAGCCAGTTCAAGTGGAGGCTACCTTTGAAAGAAGCTTATTCTTCTGTACTGTTCCCTCCGTCTGCACTTGTCTTGGAGAGGCTGCACCAGGAATGAGATCATGGTGATCAATATAATGTGATAGAAGAAAAAGAAAAGAAACAAAATACTGTTTTCAGCTACATCAGTTCCTTGATCGTGCTCCTTTTGTGGCCTTGCAGCCTTGGCACAAGCCAGAAGGGTGGAAGGTCAGGGCTTCTGTGTTTGGTGGCAGCTTTCATTTAGATAATGCTGTTATTCAACAACTGCTTTCAGTCAAATGGTGGAAACCATATGGATGGGTTCATATGGAAACAGTTGTTGAGAGTGAATAAAGATTTTTACTGCCTTTATGAAGAATAACTTACCAAATGGTTTAGTTTGGTGTATGGGAATAGCTTACAGTTTTTACTCTCTGGGACAATATTATACAGAAAAATACTTGTTAGTTATGTAAATATGAATAAATGAATGAATAAAGAAACCTTTGTGCAGTGTGTCATGGATGTTTTCAGTGCAGGCTTACAACTCAGTGCTGCCTCTATGAAAAGTAGAGGCAAAAATGTATTGGCTCAAAGTCGCTCTCTGAAGCCTTCTAATATTTTAGGTATTAATTCTACAAATCATCTGTGTAAACCAGCTTATATCTATTGTGGTCCCAGTGGCATTACTCTTTTTCTGTCTTTGTTGTTTTATCAATAAATTCCAGGTCTTCCAGTGTATAATAGGTGTACTTGCTATGCTAAGCTTGCCAACGTACTATCTAAGTGTTTGGAAATGAGTATGAAATTATAACTCTTTGGATATTTTAAAAATGCATTTTTAACATATAGGAAAACGTTTGTAGGGTAATTGCCTTCTATGTGGAGAACAGTACTGGAAAACATCGTGCATGCGTATTCTGACCTTCATGTGTGTAGTAAATGTGAGTTGTTCCGAGGCAGCATTTTAGGTTAAAGCTGGGCAGCTACTTCAGGTTCATTACCAAACCCTTGGGTAGAAAGGTACAGAAGGATGCCTGAGACGTCTGTTGTATAGAAACTAGATATTTTTTTGATAACTTGTTTGCATGTCAAAATGACATGATTTGTCATATGAGTTTAATATTCTGATCTTCTCACTTCTTCCTCTTTAGGTTGCAGCAATCTATAAAGATTCAAGTATTGGAAATCTTATAAATATTGTTATTGTAAAGTTAATTGTAATCCACAATGAACAGGTAGGAAAGCTAAAATATTTATAGTAGAATAAAAAAAAAAGCATTATAATTCCAAACTTGAAAGTATTTTAAATACTTTTTTTGTTTAATTTAACTGTATAATTTTATTCTAGAAAAGGGAGTGAATATTAAATATGCTGGTAAATGTGCTGGTAGCACAGTGCATATTTAATGAGTGTGTACAGAGGTTAACTGCAAAGCTTTTATTTAATGTGTGTATTTCACCATCTGTCTATAAGCACCTCCTGTTGACCTAAATGGGCTTAAATCAGATACTTTGTGAAAGCTTTTGACATAACTACTCATGCAAATACGAGTGGGAAAGGGCAACTTTTATAGAGGGTTTTGACTGCAAGTTTTCAGCAATAACAGCTGTAATATTTTAAATTTTAAGAAATACATATTTTTCAGGTATATGTTTTCATATTTATCATTAATGTCTGCTACCCTATTTTCTGAATCTATCACATGATTAAGAAAAGGGTTCTCATGAGCGGTGACTTTTAGCTAAGTTAAGATGCTGATTCTGCAAAAAAATATGTGTGTGTGAGGTCTTATGTGGAGTCCTTCTGAGTTCCTTTCCACTCAGTCATTGTTTTGAAGATTAGAGGTACAACGGTCAAAATAATAAGTGCAAGTATGTGAATATTACAACCCTTTTTTTGTTTCTTGGACATTTCTTGCTTAGGAAGGACCAGCTATCACTTTTAATGCAGCTACTACACTTCGTAATTTTTGCTTATGGCAGCAAGCACAAAACACTTTGGATGATGCTCACCCTTCTCATCATGATACTGCTGTTCTTATCACTAGGTATGGTATCTGAAATAGCCAGAATTACTCAGCTAGGTGAGACAAATGCTTCCATGTCTTTCTTACATCATCATTTTTAACTGTCCCACAGACACTGTTAATAGTAATTGGAGTCAGTAAAGAATGTCTTGCATTTGCCTAACCACAAATGATCAATATGTGAGCAATTAGTCTTACAGTACTGTGTTGGTAATTAAGCATTTGATCAAACTTATGTTAAAGATAATGTAAATTATTTAGACCTGAAATTGTTACAAGGAAGTGACTTCTTCAACCATTGAACACGTAAGTTGCATATAATGGAATCAGCTAAAGGATGCAGTGATGCAACTCTTTATAGCCCAGGCATAATTAGAACTGCCAAAAGCTTACAAATGGAAAATGTTAAAATATTAGTGTTGTACACTGATTTCCTCAGTGGAGGTTCTGACATTCATTCACTGAAGTATATTCTTATTTTTTTTCCTTTTCATTAATTTTTTAGCTGGTGTTCAAATTGGACTCACTCCAGCACTTAAAACTCTTTGATATATGTCCTGAAATATGTTGTTATTTTGGCATCTGCTCCACTACGTAAGGTATTTTCAAGTAGACTGGAATCTGCACGTATTCAGCAGCACTTAATATGTGTGAACATAGTGAAGAAATAGCGTAGTACATCAGTCTTTATTCTTTGCAAGCTAGGTAGTAACTAATACCATGAGTGTTGTGTCATGAATATAAATTACTTCTTTCAAGAAGTAATGACAAGAATACAAATTGTTTGAATGGACTGCAAGATTGAAAATTGAAAATTGAGATTTGCAGCTGCTGTAACGAATGTAGCAATAGTGAAATACTTTACATTGAAGTACTTTTTATTTGCTCCAGTAATTTCAAATAAATTTTTTCTTTCAAGGGAAGATATCTGCAGAGCTAGAGAGAAGTGCGATACTCTAGGTGAGTTATTCTTTTTTAATCAGTATGATCTTACAAGAGAAAATCTGTAAGAGAATTTTACTGTAGGAGATACATGTAATCAGGAAAAAACAAACAAACAAACAAACAAAAACACACCAAAAAAATGATGTAAAATTTAATTGAGAGACAAAAAAAAGTAATTTTTTCAATACTGTGATCTCAGGTGGAAGCTGGTTTAATGTAAATTTGGTTGCGTAGGTCATGCATGACTTTCAAGTCTTGTGCTTTAGCGTTCACTTATAGAATCGTTCCTATGTGAAAACTTGTTCTATTAAGCTTTTATATAACAATTCGATTTTGCAGGTTTGGCAGAGCTAGGTACAATGTGTGACCCACTACGCAGCTGTTCTATAAGTGAAGAAAATGGATTAAGTGCTGCTTTTACTATAGCACATGAACTTGGACATGTGTAAGTACTTATTTCCCAGTGGGTAAATTTTTTTGTTTCCTTTTGAATACTACCAGTTTCCTGTGATGGGCTCTACTTTTCTAAGAGTGAGCAGTCTGCTACATCCTTTTAGAACAGTCATTGTCTTTGCCCTTTGCAAAGTCAGGTCTGCTAGCCACCTAGAGTTAGAGAATCCACGAGGTTTATAACCTGGCCACTTGCTAAATGTGGATGATTGGAGATACTGGCCATACAGCCATCTTCTGTCCTTTTGTTATATCAGCTGGTTGGGACACTGGGACAGGTATCATAAATGTGAAACATAGCCCTGTTAACTCCACTTGCATTCTAGCCCTGAAAGGAATTTCAGGTAAGACATTTGTTAATACAAAGCAGAAATATTCTTCCTTCTCTGTGATCCTTTCGGAATAAAATAGAGTAACACAGAGAAATGTTTTACATAGAAAAATAAGAGGAGATGACAGCATTTTATTTTATGAAGTGTACCTCATCAGTGATGGCAGAAGGGTGCTATACTCTAGCTCCACGTGGTGGAGGTAACAAGGGCGTTACAGAGCTCAGTAGCTAGCTAGTTGATTTTCATAATCCTGGAAGTTCACTTATAGACATGCCATTTATCATATAATTTAGTATCATTGAAGTATGGTAAAGTATTAGTTACATAAATCTGATGTTGATGTGCTCTGCAGTTTGTTATTGAACAGTAAGAGTTACGATGTGAATGTTGGAGTAATCTGTTATGGTCAATCTGGATGTGACCTGTATATTCAGTTCAGTAGATGTGTATTTAAAATGCCATACTCCCAAAACACTGGGATTTTTCTGGTGAACTGAAGAATTGTGCAATTGTAAAATTCTTACTGGGTTCAGCATTATAGCCATAATGTCAGATAGCCATAATAAATGAGACCCATTACCGTGCTAAGGCATTTTCAAACTCAAAACTGGAGCTTTTGTTACTATAAGAGAAGTGTATCAGGTAATTATTGCTGAATTTGTTTTGGAGTTTGTTTGTTTTGCTTTTTAGATTCAATGTGCCACATGATGACAGTTTTAAATGTAAAGAAGCTGGAATTAAACATCAATACCATGTGATGGCTCCAACTTTAAATTACCATACAAGTCCATGGACCTGGTCAAAATGCAGTCAAAAATACATCACAGAATTTCTTGAGTAAGTACCAGTATAAATGCTGTGCACTTTTGTTTTCTATTTTGTGTCAATCTGAAAAGCATTTTAAAAGTATTGCTGAAGTACCACTTTTGTGTTGTTGTTGGCTTTAACAACTGATTTGTAGGGCCTCAATCCTCCAGAAATGACAAGCATTTAACTGTTTGGATGATGACTAGTTCCATGGTTTCAGTAAAGTTACACTCAAAATGTAAAGCTAAGAGCATATTTTAATTTATTTTTTTTAATATCATGGCCTTGATTATTGAAAAACTCTTTAGTATGATTTTAATAGTCAGGCACGCTTTATTTTAGGAGTCTATATTTCAAAAATATTAAGTGATGGATATAATTTTAGTCAGTAACATTTTTTCTTGTCAGATTGTAAAAATAAGAAATGACAGTCAGAAAACAAAGACCCTAAGCTATGTTTGGTGGATATAACATATAATCCAGTAAGGAAAAATCAAGTGTCCTAGTTTATTTTATTAATTACAATTAATTTAGTTCTGTGCAAACCCATAATTGCATTGAGATATGCATACATGTATGTAAGCAGTGTATTAATATGCTTCCAACTAATTAGGAATGATTAAATCACATTTTGTTCCTGTTTGTACAACAGTACTGGTTATGGTGAATGTCTTCTAGACAAACCTAGTGGAAGAATATACGATCTTTCCTCTCAGCTGCCTGGATCGATGTATGATGTCAATAAGCAGTGTGAGCTTATGTTTGGTCTTGGGTCACAAGTCTGCCCCTATCTGGTGAGTGAACAATGCACAGACTCATGCTTAATAGGTACTAAAAACTGCTGAGAGGTAAGCTTAAAAATGAAATCTCAGTCATTCAATTTTTGGAATAATTTTATTCTGAAATGTGTCAAAGTGCAAATTCTATTCTGCTGAAGGGAAATTGTTCAGTGGAAAGCATTTTCACATTGTAACCACTATATTACATTAACAGATTTCTTACCTGATTTAAGTACTTTTATAAATTTTTAACTTTAAAAATTATATTTTAATTGAAATATTTGCTCCAAATGTTTGGTCCAAAATGCAGATTCCCTCTACTTTGTCAAGTATTTCCATACATGTTAGAGTGTACAGTTTATGTACTTAACCAAAAATTCTTTGAAGCCAAATTGGGATCTGGAAAGAAAATAATAATGTAAAGAATGAAGTAGATAAAGATTGAAACTTCAGTTTTTGAAAACTTAATGTGGCCCGTTTGCCAGTACAATGCATAATGACAAATATAGTGTTATGACTTCATTTGATTCTGTCAAGATGTCACACAGAGTTAGATTTTGGACCAACTTGTTCAATACCTGTACTTGTATTGCATTGCTTGTTGGAGCTGTTTAGAGGAGACAATTTAGGATCAGATTCAGACTGAATTAAGTGGAGCTGTTGTTGAAGTAAAGTATTGTTGAGGAAGAGTCAGTCTTTATGGGATTATTATAGAAAAGTAAAGAGGAATTCGAAGACCTAGGGGTGGTTACTGAAGACTGCTTTGTAAATTCAGTAAATCGTAAATGGTATTTATCCTTTAAGAGTCTTTTTAGCAATCTGTAAAGAAGGTTTTCTTCTTAATATTCTGGCCAGCGATTTTTAAAAAATAATTCCAATTAGTGTCTTTATCTGAATATTATTCTCAAACTGTGCTGCACAGTATCAACCATAATCTTGTACATGCTTTTTTTTTAAATTAAATCATCTACTGAATTAGAAAATAAAGGCATCTATTATTTCTGATTAGGTCTGTTTCAAATTTTCCACATTACTGCCTAGTGTTACATAAAATCCATTTTTTGGATGGTGAGGGAGGAATTATGTGTAAAAACGAATAGTACTGGTAGTAAAAATTAAACCCATATATTATGAGAAAAACAATGTAAATATCCCAGCTGATATCTGAGGTGGTGTTACAGGTACAACAAAGGTAATCTTGTTTTTTTTTTGTTATTTTGTTTAAGAAACAATGCAAACGCTTATGGTGCACAAGCACAGAAGGAGTTCACAAGGGATGTCGTACTCAGCACATGCCACTGGCTGATGGAACGGTTTGTGGTGTGGGAATGGTAAGCCTTTGTTTTTCAGAGCTTGCATATGGCAAAGTCATTTATGGAAACCAAACATCCCAAAAGCATATTCTCCCAATGTCTCTAGTTGAGGCTGTTTCACTGAGCCAGAACTAATTAAGTATGAGTGATTTAGGTATAGGAGTACACTTTTTTCGAAAAAAAGAGTTTGTATTAGACTCGTGGCTTTAGTAGATATTTGTGTATTACATTTGTTTCAGACAAAATGTGAAAGCACATATCAGTACCTTTTCATCTATTCCAGTAAGTACCTTAACCACACATAACTCATATTCTGCTTTGCCTACTGTAGATACTTGATGCTAGATTCAAGATACTTGGATCTGTTTGGGGCTAAAAAACAGAACTTCTCATCCGTTTACACCATAAAGTGTTTTATTTGACCTGGCTGTATGAGAGACAGATTGCATTAAAGGAAGAAATAAAAAGGAAGAAATGGAAGCTGGACTTCCTATACTCTGCTTGTAGGTTTATTTCATAAAGAGTGTTTAGAGGATGAGAGAGCAGCTCACTACTTTGTCATATGGCAGATTATTATTTTTTTTTGAATGTAGATCTTGATCTGTATCCTCTGAGAACATAGCCTGCCTTGGTCTTGGCAGGGGGGTCATGAATAGCTAGTTACTAGATACAGTCACGGCACTTAAAATACCATGATAGAAACAGAAGTACTGGTGGATGGTAGTTGAATCCAGTGTTAACAATGAGGATTTGAGGGTCTTAGTTTTGGATTTGCATGTAGCTTGGGATGTGAACAGAAATAAGATGCTCGATTTCTTTGCTGATCTAGTCTTTGGCTTCTCCCTGTCTCAGTTCACTACCAGCAAACAGAAGTATTTTCTCACCCATCGAGGGACTGTGAAAATAAATATTTAAATATTTCAGAGATTTTGACATGCTCGGAAATGACAGCATTTATCTTAAGTCTGGCAGGTTTATTATGCTGAACTGTTTGTAATAGTAGCGTGCTTTGCCAGATTCAGGGGCTGTGGGAGCAATGTTAATTTTTATCTTTTAATAGTTTTACACATTCAAAGATGTTTTTAAAAATTCTGGTCTAATTCCTATGTGTAATAAAGTATATTTTATTCAGTTATTACTAAATTTCCCCCAATAACTTTTAATCTTTAAAGATTGCTTATTTATTTGTTTGTTTCTTCTGTATTTGATAAGACATAAGAAGTGAGAAGTTTGAAAATACTGTCCTAAAGGTTAATAATTTAATGGGTAAACTGTGTCTCAGAAATTTCTTCTCTCTTGCAAAATTAGGAAAAGTTATTTGAAGGTTGCAATGGAAGCTTTGCTTGTTTACAGCTGATGATATAACATGGTATATAACATTAAATCCATTTTTCAGTCAGTCATTGATCAGAAAGAAAGTTCATAATTTATATAAACTTCATATGTAACATTTAATTCAATTGACTCTAATTTGCCAACATCAGAGCACTTCTTTTATATAAGAATACAAAAATCTATTTTATGCTATTTTATGCAATTACTGCAGTGAAACCAAACAGTTTTCTCTAGGTGAAGAGCTAATTTTCTTCAGCTTCACAGTTTTCTCTAAGTGAAGAGCTAATTACAGTCATTACCTTTGAAAGATGTGAAAAAGAGCAGCAATTAATCTGACAAATTGTCATCTGTTTCTATCTAAGGGACAGTTCCTTTCAAGCTCAGTGGGTGAGTTTCTTTTGATTTTAGTGAGATTAAGGCATGGTGACTAGTAACTGTATCTAGTATTTGTGAGCACGCTTAATATATTTATATTTGGTGCTTGTAGCATTTTTGCTGTGACAAATACAAAAAGATCTATTTAAGGCATTTGCAGTTTATTTTATTTGCAGTTTATTTTATTTGCAGTTTATTTTATTTGCATTTTAAGCTTAGATTTGACACATGAGTTCACTTTCACAGTAATTTTTTGTTTTTCTTCAATTTGTGTCTGATTAGTGGATCTTGCTTTATGGAGCGCTCTATAACATTCCATACTTTATGTCTGTACTTTCCCAAAATATAAGAAGATATCAGAGACTCTCAAGAGAATGAGCAAACTGCTCTTTCTGAGCTCAGTGGAATATCTTCTTGCCATATACAACCTGTCAGCATGCAAGCTTTTTGAAAGAGATTTTTTTAGGACATTCACTCACCTGTAGAGCTCAGTGACTTCCTAATTTATGTAGTATTGGTAATAGGTACAGGTAAGATTGTCTTGTACAACTAAAAGGAAAACTCAGCCTCACTTACTTCAGCGTCTTAGTAGAGAATAAAGAAAATATTTTCTTGGTTATTTGAGACATTCCTGTATTAATTCCATAGTTTTAATATTATTAATTATCAAGAATTCATATTACAAAAATAGAAACCATTTACTACAATTTAATGTCTAGTAAAACTAATTTGATTTGATCAAACTGTACTTTGTTCATCCTAGAGTTATCTTTAAAAATGAATTGTTCTTACTTGCTAGGCTTCTACCAAAGGTTGAAAATTTCTCTCTTCATCCTCCTCTTTATACATTCTGATTACTTAGATTTGACAGCAGCCTGTATGTAGCAATTCTGGCTCTGAGAATGGTTTCTCACTCCATTGATACTCCTGTATCAATTACATCACTTCAGGTGTTTTTCTTTGCTTTTTTGACTTCAAAGAGATCCGTAGGAAGTCTAAGCTTCTGCCAGGTTCTAACATCACACAGAACTTCTGAACTTCCCTGAAGCAGATGATGCAGTCTTTAAAGTCTTTGGCCTAATTGGTATTTCAGAGAGAAAATAATTGTAAATATATCTTCACATGCTGTATGTGAACATTGACGAATTTTGCAGTGATTAATTTCTGCAGACCATGGAAATACAGTAGTCATTGCTTGAAAATGTTTCTGATGTGTTTTTTTTTTTTTTTTTTTTTTTTTTGTGAGAGACATCCAAAGATCTCTCATTCTCTTCATTCCTGGATTGGCTTCCTAAAGGCAATAATATATACAACCATAACATATAGTTATTATTTAAATTTTGTGTTTAGTTAAATGTTATTTTTATTGTGTATTGAGGCACAATGATATGAAAACTATTATATGGTTAGTGCTTTTTTGTCTTATCTCTGTAATCAAGTTACCATGGTTATGCTGTATTACTAGTCTGATGTAGGCTGCTCACTGGATGCCACAATGAATTCAGTATATCACAGAATCACAGAATCATTTGTCTGAGTGGATGTTCTTATTTTCATCCTTGCTCATTGTTCTTGCTCATTCATGCTGTATCTGTGTAACTTCTAAGGTTCATACTCTTTTCCCATTTCTAAGTAATTTGTGTCTACTTGAAGAGTGCTTATGCTCAGACTTCAGCTATAGGCCAGATGCTGCATAGTGAACAGGTATTATGCTTCTGCATTGCCTTTAGTGTTCATCTGTTTTGTGGCTCCAGGTATGCCCATTTTCCTTTCACACATTCAGTCCAGCACGACTTTCTTTTCTTGTTCTATCCACTGGCTTAGTTATTCTCAGAGCTCAGTCAGGGTATCAGGAATGAAGAAATCACATTGTATAAGAAAAAAAAATCAGAGCGATATAACTGAATATTTGGAAAGCAAAATACAAACCATAATGTCTACTTCTGCGACACTTTGTCTTTTTCATGTCTCCCAAATACTTTTCTGTTCTGTTCAATCATCTTCTCTTCTTTTTGCAGCATCAACAGCTATCAGCAACATCCATGGAAACATGGTGGTGTTTCAAACCAGATAAACTATTTTTTCCAAGCCTTCTTTTCTGCATGGCTACACAGGACTTCAATTCCTGAAACTATGTCCTCTCACACTCATTGTCTGTGTCTCAATCTTTGTCCCAAGGTCTTCAAAAGCCATGGCAGTAGCTCTGGAGAATGCAAGCAGCAAGGGTGAACTTGGAGTCCTTTTCCTGTTGAATTGTACCAACCTCTGTATGAAGTCCTTGATTTCTGAAGATCTCTGGTGCTGTTTTGTGTCCATCTATCATCTTAATTTAGTCAATGTTGATCATAGCCTGACAACACTTTCATGATTTCTTTCAAACTTTCTTTCCTGGTAACTTATTGAGCACAATAAGCTATGAGATACTCTGGAAGTACCTGAAATCAGTTTATCCTGTAATAGTTTAATCCATAAGTATGAGTCAAGCTACTTACTGTAAACAAGCAATGAAGTAATATGAATACGGGTACCTGTAGGTTCGTTGATCTCAAACTTGAACCATTAATCCTCCCTCTCCTATCTTCACATATAATAATTGCATAGGGATTTGGGTCAGAATTACTGCCTTTTTGACAGAAAAGCTACTCTTCACCCTAGATAAAGCAGAGTTGCCACTTGCTGCAATCAGTATGTTTGGAATTGCAAGTGATAGCCATTTCATTTGATGCATGCATTATATTTGCCATAACAAATGTAGGAAAAAATGTTAGTGATTATATTTAAGTTTATGAGAGTTCAGTGTATCATAGTGTTCTCAGTGAAGCAGTGATTCAAGGAAGCAAAGAGGAACATCTGGAATGCGTCTAGTGCCTAAATTTTCTACTGTGACTTCATCATGTTGCTTCTGTAGGAATGTAGCAAAATAATAGCTGAGACAAGTTTGTTGAATAAGCTATTAAAATCCCAGATGTGAACATGTGCTTTGCATTTTTATGGATCAAAATAATGCTGTTGTGGGTATAAAATTTCATTTTACAACTCTGTCTTTTTCTGAACTCTCACTTCAAGTTATTGTAAATGTTTTTGTGGATAGGGGAAGAAAGTAAACTCTAGGTCCTAGTCACATATTTGGATGGGGTATTTCTTTTGTGAAGTGGAGCGTAGAATCCTCAGCCTATAGGAATCCTCAGCCTATATATGAAATATTATTTCAAAAGATCTTAATTACAGTTATTGGAAAGGCTAGATCTTAATGTTTCTTCATGTTTACCTTGCACTTTCATATAGTGTAGCCATATCTAGTACCTCCTAAAGGTACTAGAAGGTTGAGGTACAGAGGTACCCTAGAAGCATTTAGAAAAAAAGTAATGAAAGGTATCAGTAAGCACTGCAGTGATATGTAGATGCCCACAGAAAGCACGTTGTCTTTTTTGTGTTAAGTCACAACATTAGTCTGAGCATTAAGTGAACAACGTGGACAGTTTGCCAAATCATTTAAATAGTAGTATAGCAAGATAAATCTAGTTTTTGTTCCATGTTTGCTTTGTGCTGGAAGTCATCTTGAGTGGTAACATTCTTAGTTAGAGACATATTTGGGGCTTAAAAGACATGGCCAATGCTCAAGAGTCAATGCGACCAAGAACTGTGCAGGCAATTTGGCAATTTATTTGCAATATTTGGCAATTTAATCCAATTTTATTGCCAAATTTGATTAAGAGTTCAGGCATTATTCAGAATGGAGAATCTGATTCTATAACAAATTCCTATTTGGAGAGCAAGGCCCTGGTCCTCATGGGGTTCTTCACTGATACTCAACTGATATGGCTGGAGGGCCAACACAGCAGAGCATAAGTAATCCAGGAGGTTTCTGGCATGCATTGATGATAACTTCCTTCTCCAAGTGATAGAGAAGCCAGTAGGGAGAGGTGTGCTGTTGGACCTCATACTCATCAACTATGAAGGGTTTGTTGGGAATGGGAAGGTCAAAAGTAGCTGTGGCTGCAGTGACCTTGAGATGGAGTTCAGGATCCTGGTGGCAGGGAGGAGGCTGAATAGCAAGTTTACAACCACAGACTTCAGGAGAACAGACTTTGGCTTCTTCAAGGATCTGCTTGGTGGAGTACCATGGGATAAGGCTCTAGAAGGAAGAGGAACCCAAGAAAGCTGGTTAATATTCAAGGCTCACCTCCTAGCTGAAGAGAGGTCCATCTTAAAGGATAGGAAGTCATGCAGAAATGCCAGGGGGCTTGCATGGATGAACAAGGAGATCCTGGATAAACTCAAACATGAAAAGGAAGTGTACAGAGGGTAGGAGCAAGGACAGGCAACCTGGGAGGAATACAGAGAGGTTGTCTAAGCATCCAGGGATAAAGTTAGGAAAGACAGAGTTCAAGTGGAACTGGACTGGTAGAGAAGGGGAGAGCACTGGATATTGTCCAGCTGGCTTTCACAGCAGGACTTTGATGCTTTCAGTGTCAAGGCGGCCTTTGACACTGTCCTCCATAAGATCCTTGTGAACAATCTGCAGATGTATGGGCTGGGTGGGCAGACAGTGAGGTAAATAACTGGCTGAATGGCCAAGCCCAGTGAGTGGTGGTCAGTGGCACAAAGTCTAGCTGGAGACTAAATGTCCAGACCCAGGTTAAGAATAGGGTTAAATTTTCTTTCATGTGTAGTAACCTGTTGCTTGACTTACAAATTTTGCTTTTTCTGTCAACTGTGCAGCACTGCCGCCATGGAATTTGTGTGAGCAGAGACATGGAGACACGTCCTGTAGATGGAGAATGGGGACCATGGGGACCTTACAGCTCATGTTCAAGAACTTGTGGAGGTGGAATCAAGAGCACCACCAGGCTGTGTAATAGACCAGAGTATGTTTTTTGCTGTTCTTTACATTAGATCATAATGAAGGTATTATAACATAATGGATTCGTTCAAAACAAAATAAAGGTATTATGGTTGCATAAATTTGTTCAAAACTCCAGTAAGCAATTGCTTGTTTCATCAATGTTTGAAAAGAGGGATAAGTCTAGAGACTCCAAAATGCAGGGAGCGTTTAGATTTCTTTTGCCTCATCATTCACATTTATAGATAGATCTGAAGACTTATTTTGGTAAAGTCTTTTTTTTTATTTTTTTATTTTTTCCTTAATGTTGAGGGTTTATTTAAACTTTCTGATACATTTTATGGACTGAAAGGTGCAAAATGAAAATACATGTATTGCCAGGTAATCTTTTTAGTGAAGCACTTGATTTGTTTAGATTTGAGGCTGTTTGACGGCATCACCACCAGTAATGTTCACAAGGAACACTGGTTACAGCAGGGTCATTTACAACTTCCCTTTATAATAAGAAACTTCCACTGACTGAATAATTCCATGTGGGTTTCATTCTCTGTAACAAAGGTCAGTGAGAACTTTACCCTTAACTTCTACAGAACAAGAGCTGAAGCTATGGTTATGGTTTTATTTTTACGAAGTGATGTCATCTTGATATTATTGGAAGGATAAATGAACCTCAATCAAATCACCCCAGGTTATTTTATTTTTTTCTGCTAAGTAGACTAGATTCCTATGAAATATGGCTGTGTCTGTCTTAGTATCTGGTAATATCAATATGCCATTGCTTTATTTGTTTTCTTTTCCTCCCCAATCCTCCAAAGAATCTGCTAATACCAAAGTATAGTGTAGCAGGGTTTTAAGTTAGGAAATATATGTTAGACTTAAGAGTAAATGGGCTGTTGTCCACAATTCTCCCATTTTAGATCTTTTGATCTACAACCTGAAACTGACATTAAGACTAAAGAGAAGAGTGTAGCAGCTCTTAATTTTATCTTCTTTCTTTGTCACTCTTTAACATAATAATTTAAAATTACTGAGGGAGGTGCTGCTTCTGTGAAAATAGGGCTGTAATCCTGGCTAAGTTAATGGAAGCATTGAAGTTAATAACGCCTTTTACCAGGCAAAATATTGATGAGTATAAGAGAAATAAAAAAGCATTTAATATAATAGACATTTAAGATATTAGACATTATCATCCATAACTTGTTTACCACCTCCCCCAGCAGTAATCTTTTATGTAGACTTTTTTATTTTCTTCATATGGGTACAAATGTACACCCAGTGCAATAGAAGATGAGAGGTTTTGGGGGGGAAAGACAGTACAGGACTGACAGAATGCTGCATGAGATTTTCCCTTTTAGATCAGTAGATCAAACCTCTTTTCATGGAAAAAAGGAATTTTAGAAACAGAGAGAGAATGTTTTACATTTAACTGTTTTTATTAGACCAAGGAATGGAGGAAAGTACTGTGTTGGCCGCAGGATGAAATTTCGATCATGTAATACTGATTCATGTCCAAAGGGCAAAAAAGATTTCCGGGAGCAACAGTGCTCTGAATTTGATGGCAAACACTTTAACATCAATGGTCTTACGTCTGCTGTCCGCTGGCTTCCAAAATACAGTGGTAGTAAGTGATTATATATTTTTTCAATTACCAGAATAAGAATGTTATTTTAACTAAAGTCCTAAAACAGTCAAGAAACCTGTTGGATTTTCTTTCCAGTTTCTATGAAAGATCGCTGTAAACTTTTTTGCCGAGTTTCTGGAACAACTTCCTACTATCAGCTGAAGGACAGAGTTGCTGATGGTACTCCCTGTGGAGCAGAAACCAATGACCTTTGTGTTCAAGGCTTATGCAGGGTATTTAAATCTAAACTTACTAATTATTAAAATCAATTTTAACAGATGGTTAAATAGTTACTAAATAAATATACATCCAAATAACCATTACTGAAAGTATGTAAAGCAAGATGTTTTGAATTTACTTCAGTTGATTTTAATCCCTACCAAATTAAGATCTGGAAATGGAGGCAATTAAGTGAAGAACATAGAGTTGAATCTGAACACCCATAGTCTTTCCTCATTAAGCCTAATGTGTGAGAGGGTTAATATTGTCCACATGAACTGAGAGAAGCTGGTCCAAAATTGGCATTAAGGGGAGTAAAGAAGCATGCTGTCTGATTATTGCCATCATATTTCTGCTAGCAAAGTGAAAAACTGAAAAATCTGAGTGTAGATAGATCACACATTTATGGTTTCATTGCAAAATCAGGTGGAATGGACCCCTGAAAAGGATCAGTTCATCATCGTTTGCTTAATAGCAGTTAATAGAAGTACCACAAGACTTTGCTAGAACATGCATATTATAAAAAATCAAGACATTTTTTGTCCATCCCAGGTAGAATCATAGAATCATTAAGGTTGGAAAAGACCTTCAAGGTCATCTGGTCCAACTAGCAGTGTCACCCACTAAACCATGTCCTTAAGCAGCAGGTCCAACCTTTCCTTGAACACCCCCAGGGACGGTAGTTTTGCTGATTGCAGTAAAACTGGCTAAATTCAGGATGAGGAGAAAATGTAACCTTTTTCAGAGTATATATCAAGAGGAAAGAGGAAGTCCTGTTTATGATCATGTAAAAAACAGAAGATTAAGTAAAGATACATAAAGGAAGTGATCCTATGCTAGTCTACTTATTTTCCTTTTCTTGTTTTGTAGTAATGACAGACTTTAACAGAACTGATGTCTGTATACAAATACATACTGATTTTAGGATTCAAAGACTTTTTTAATGCAAATATACCTTAAAGTTTATACACTGTGTTGATATTTTTATACAAAGTCTTTGCATGCTGTTACGTATTCTTGTACAGTTCTTGGCATAGTAAGTGTATATGGATTATACATTCTTTGTACAACACAACTACTGTGTTTTGCCTGTACATTACAGCACCCAAAAACATAAAAGGTTTTTCATGAATTGCCAAGACTAGATATATACAATGAATAAAAATGTTTTTTGGGAGTGGGAAGTTTACATTGTATGTTTTCATTGTTTTACATTGGGCTGAATGACACGGGATTGTATTTTTTTGTAGCAAGCAGGCTGTGATCATGTTTTGAATTCCAAGGCAAGGAGAGACAAATGTGGAATCTGTGGTGGTGACAATTCTTCGTGTAAGACTCTTGCAGGTACTTTCAACAGTGCTCGTTATGGTATGTTTTGCTTTTTTTTTAATCTTAATGTACATTTTAGTGTGGCTTAGCGATTGTATTATTTGGTTGAGGAAGTGGAATTTCAGTGTATGTTCTTTAGGGCCTCTGTCAACAAATAATATCTCTGATTGTCAGTCACACATGCCCTCTCAAGGATGCACAGGCAAGCGCTGTGACACACTGACCCATTCAAGTGGCACAAACTAATCTGCTTTAAGGTCAAAATAAAAGCCATTAAAGAAGATATGATGAGGGCAGAAGTACTTTAAAAGGAAGAATGCTTCCTGCTGTGCACATCGTGATCTCTGTTATCTGGAAGTATCTCCTTTTGGTTGTGTAAGGAGATATCAAGAGGGCTGTGGCGTGAGCAGCTGGTGAGATTTCTTTTTCCCTATAGTGAAAGCCTGTGAAATGTGACCCTTTTCTTTCTAGAGAATATGGGCAGCAACATTTATGTTCTTTTCTCTTCATTGGCATGTAAGGAATGAGAAAGTCTTCTGGAAAACTCTGGTACTTTATATTTCTTTGATTTAATTTCTCTAATAGAGCTACCAATAGTTCTCATACACGTAGTCCATTCTGGGAAGTATGGAGAGACTGTCATATGTATGTAGCAGTGCAGGTCAACAGTTAGAGCGTAGAACATAAGGACAGAAGTCTCTGGATTAATATTGTATTCCAAAAGGCCTCTTCATGCGGCTTCATTGGATGAAAGAGACCACAGGCGAAGTGAAAATGATACCTGGAGAGCTGCCAAATAGGATCTTCAAAGGACAAAGGAATTGCTGGTCAAAGAGGAAAGTATGCCCAGTATCCTGGTGGATTTTTTTTTTTTTTCCTGGCAGAGGGCTTGTACCAAGCAAAAAGTACCAAAAAGCTTAAGGGTGGGCTATAAGTACCCCTCCTGTACAAATACATGTCACTTTTCTTGTCTGTCCTGAGATACTGGAATAAAACACAAATATTTTTATTGAGACTGGATTTTTGAATGTGTGGTCAAATACTGAAGGAAAATAATGCATTACTTTTGATAACTCTGAGTAAAGGACTATCAGTTTGTGTGTTTGTTTTTTTTTTTCACTATGAAAGATCTTTTCATTTACAGGTATCACATTAATTATGTTACAGATATGTTTGATGCAAATAAGCAGTATAGTGAAACTGCCATTCATTCAAATATAATTGACATTATCACTCTGTTAATCAGCTTCTTGTCATCTCAGATTTATTTGATTCTAAATGAAATTAATTCCACAAAGTAATAAAATTTTAATTTACTGTATTAACAAAATGATTCATCTAAAAAAAATCACTATCATTTTATATTAAATAGTGAATTATGAAAAATGGAAGCTCATATTTTTTTTTCTTTTTTACAGTCCATGACATAAGGTAGTCTGATTTGAAAACTACTGTTTCATTTGTTTTCCCATATACTTTAACTGATATAATGTAGGACTATGTATTCTGAGGGAAAAAACTCAGGAGTTCATACTTATGTTGGGAAGCTAGATGACTGTATTCTCTGTGAAGAGTATGATAAAGCAAATTTCCCAGTTCGTTAGCATAGAAAGGATGGAGGGTCCTGAGTTCTTTCCATACATTCCTTGAACAACTGCTGGCTGGAGCTACTGCTGGGTGTCCTTCAGTTATTGTGGGCTCTTGTAATTCAATATGCTTTGTGTTTTGTTCTCTAAGATTCTGTATTTATGAATATTACCATCTTGGCATTTTTTTTTTTTTGCTAAAAAGACTCATTTGGATATTTCTGTGGCTTAGCTGGTCTTGCACAGGGCATCAGAAAAAAATTCAGTATGAAAAGGACAAAAAAAGATCAAAAAAGTTTAATTATTCTTTTCTATTTTGGGGGATCAGGAAAACTTTATTTTAATATTTTGGTGGGGTTTGTATACATAGTTTTATCATTTACATTCTTTTTTATCTTGGAGTTACATAAAAGATAATACTGAGTTACACTACTGGATAGTAAGCTATAACATACAGGATTATGTACAGCTGTGCTCAGGCAGGAGTGCAGCACTGCAAACAAAAGGTTGTAGCTAGCCGACCACTAAAAACTCTGTTCATGGGAGGCCTATGACATCCCCAGGCTAATGACTGAAATCGCTGTCTGATGAAGAGTCCTGAGTTAGGTGTCACTTGATAATAATGCCAGTCTGTGAACCTGGTCTTTTTCTTTTAACTGTAACTGGTCCTGTTCTGTACTGTCACAAGCCATTTTACTGAGGCAGAATTTGGAATTAGACAAGAGCAGTCAGTGGTACAGGCTTGTATTCATACAGTTATGATGATTGTGATGTTGTCATTAAGTGTTTAAACAGCAGTGAAACAATCATAAGACACTCATTACAATGAAACGCTAATTTGCTTAGCTCCCAGTTTAGGAAATGGTCATTTCATTATGTGCACATAATTGTTATGTTGTCTGTTATTGCATCAGACTAGAGTATGTGATGATTTCCTGGAAAATTGTCCTTCTTACCGCCTTAGTAAATGATCTGGTCTCCTGTCCTATATACTAGGCAGTTTTATTTATAGTTTCCTCCCATATTTTGTCTTCTGTCTTCCTATTGCCACAAGGTTTTCAGTGTGTGTGGTGAGGAGATTTTTATCATGTTTTGGTTTTCTTCCCATTAATTTTGGAAGATTCACCATTTATCCAGAGCAAGCAGCATGCCAATTTGCAATTGCAGTGCTGCCCCCAGCTGGTAACCGTGATGGACCTGTGATTAGATTAAATGTTCATTTTAAATGCATGACATAGTTTTATTAGATTAAAAACACTGGGAAGTTAGTGAATTCTGAAATTGAAAGAGGATATTGCCATTTAATTTGCATCCCACATATATGAGTCAACTAACTAAAGTTAAATTCAGCCAAGTCTTTCTTTAAAACACAGCAAAACAAGTGGCAGAGTTAGCAAAGATTATATTAATGCTTCAGATTACATTTTTGTGTTAATTATTGTTTCCTATGTTTGCCATATTCAGTTGTTCTTAGACATTGGGGTCCTTTGGAATTTATAATCAGTATCTGTGAGAAACAACTTTTTTTCTTTTTTTTTTTTTCTTTTTCTTTTTTTTTAATTTATGTGGATGTACAGATCGACAGTTCTAAAACATAGATCTTCGTGCATCTATTTTGATACCTCAAGACCATCATTCTCATTGGAGACATTATAGGATACAATCACTCATTAGTGAAGCATTTATATTTTAGAGAACACACACTAGGGTAACAATTTGTGTAGGAGAACGTGGATCTGGCATGGCTTGTTTATCCAATACACCTACATCAATTCCAGCACTGCAGTATTCGAGTATTTATGACTTCTTCCTTAGAGTGTTGTCATCTCTCGTGTAAGGTAGAGAAAAACTAACCCAATTGTACAGACAGGGAATGGAGGTACCTGAGTTTAAGTGATTTATTCAGATATCATTCAGAAAATTTTGTGGTTAAACTGTGAGCAGACACCATGTTTCCTGAGTCCCACGTGATATACTTGACTGCTCTTTAGAGTACTGCTAGCTCTCAAGAGATTTTTCTGAATAGGTTTAACTCATGTTATTGTCAAAGAACAGAATTCACTTTGCTGAACATAGGAATGATTTTTAACTGTCCCTTGAGTTATGAAAATAAGTTTCATTTCAACTGATTAAAAAAAAAAAAAAAGTAAAGGAAATTTAATATGCATAAAAATACTCACATTTCCTTCCTAAACAAATGAGGGTATTCAGAAGCAGTAGTTGCTGGTGCACTCTAGGTTTTTGTGAATAAAACTAGTTAAACTTATGCTCCTATCTGCTAACATTGAAGCATTTTTGTCTGTAATTAATTTGTGAATAATTGCATTGCAGGTTACAATGTTGTAGTAAAGATTCCCAAAGGAGCAACAAACATCGATATTCGGCAGCACAGCTACTCAGGGAAACCAGAAGATGACAACTACCTTGGTAAAAGCCTCCTGTGTATAATACTGATAGATAGTTTTTGTGCTTTTGCTAGGGGTCTGCTCTAAACACAGTCAGAAGTCTGATAAAGGCTTTAGAGTAAATACGTAATCATTATCATCATTTGCCTGATTCTCTCTGTAGATATTAGTTTTATGAAAAATAAGATGACGATAGGATTCTAATTCCTAAATGTGTGTATCAGAGAAGAATTAAAACAGATCGTATGATCATGTCAATTTTTGACTTTGTGGTGCCCATGTTAATTAAATCATCATGAGTCAACTAAAGAATAATGCAGGCATTTGTGTTTTCAAACATTGGAAGCGTGTGGTTTATTCACAGATGAAGCAGTCATCAAACATCAGTCATTTCACATTTCTGTTTTTTCTATCATGTCTGGGTATAAAGATCACATTTTGATAAATTTCTTGATAAATTTGCAAATACAATAGAAACAAAAAACAAGTGAACCATACGAAGTGAATTGTACCAAAAACCTTGGTTGTCTTATTTTGCAATATTTATGTTACCTCTTAAGTGCCTGAAAGTATAGTGATGCTTAATTTCCTTCTTTCTTTTTCCATTACCATCTTACTTGACAGACTTCAGAGCATTCAAGTTTTTTTCTTGCTACCTGATACCCTGCTGCTGCTTGTGCATCTCACAGGATACAGAAACAACCCTCACTCCCTGATACATAGCATGTCTTGACTAAATATTTTAGTTATTTTTACTTTGTTATTCATCTTCATTGTTATAATAAACTGTTTATTATTTTTTAATTGTAAATGCCTAATAATTTACTTTATTTTTACTTTTAAATTTACTTTGAGTAAGTAGCTATTTAGTTAGCCACTTAACTAAAAATGCCTCTAGCAAGTACAAGAATGTGAACTGTAGAATTGGACACAAATATGAATAACACTTGTTCTCTTCTCCAGCAGAACCTAACCAAATTTAAGAGTGATGACTATAGTCAGCTTTCAGCATAAAAAATATTATTATAGTTAAGTGTTATTGCAGAGAAAATCCATGACAACTGCCCAGGTGAAAGTGACTGATGGTTGGGATTGAATTCATGCATATTAGAAACTGTTCATTAGAACTGTAAAACCTTACATGTGGACTAAAAGTGTTGATGCAAAGACATATTTTAGGAGTTTTGATTGATAGAACCTTTTAGTCAAAATAGTTGTTTTACTTCCAATATTTTATTTTACTTACAGCATTATCTGATATTCACGGAAATTTCATCTTGAATGGAAATTTTGTTGTAAGCATGTCAAAAAGAGAAATCAATATACAAGGAGCCATTTTTGAGTACAATGGTTCAAATAATACAATAGAACGAATTAACAGCACTGATAGAATTGAAGAAGAGTTAACCTTACAGGTGAATGTTTACTTTTTTTTTCATAAGCTTAAACATTTTCTACATGGTCATTGTATTCATTACCTTATGTCATGCTCAATTTCACTGAAAAACAGTTATCATTTTATCTCAATTAAGGTTTTGTGTGTAGGGAATTTATACAACCCTGATGTACGTTATTCATTCAATATCCCAATAGAAGACAGAAGTGAGCTGTTTACGTGGGATCCTTATGGACCATGGCAGGACTGCAGCAGGATGTGCCGAGGTACTGTGAACTCTTTTGTCAGCAGATCCAAAGACCTGATGTCATTTAGGAAGAGACTAGTCTCAAGCACTCAGATTTTATCACCTCTACTAAGGAAGAAACTCAGCATTCTCAGTAATTTTAGGCACACATTACATTTAAGGGCAGAATAGCTTCTGATTTTGTTTTCTTGTTTTCAATATTCATGCAGCACAATTCTATATCCAAAATTACATTTGTGCTCCTTTCTTTTTTAGCTATAGGACTGCTTTACAGAAAATAGTTGAATCGAGTATAATGTATCCTTAGTAAGTGGGATTGTATATCTACTAAGGTGTATTAAGCTTCTGTTATTGTATTTCCAGATGGTGACTGAGTGGTTTGTCTAGTATCTTCCATATCTATTTCTTCAGCTTGTTTCGGTTATCTGCTATTTGGAGTGAAGCTATTTGGGAATATTATTTTAAACTGTCATGCTATAGGCCATTATAGTGCAAAAATGGAGCCACAATATGTATGCAGTATATCTATAAAGTGTACGTACTCAGATTTTTGATAAATTCCTTATACAGGAGATAGAAATGCTTGTACTTGAGACAGAGAATGGTGAGTTTCTTTGGATTTTGAGTCAGGCTGTAGACATATTCATGTGCTGGGGAAGCAGTGCACCTGTCAACTGCACTACTTCTCCAAGCACTCCAGTTCTTTAAGGTATGCTGCTCAAACTTTCTGCTTCCTGAAAGAAAGAATTGTGACCTTTTAGGTAATACAGTGGTGTTCAGTAATTTGGTAATTAGGAAAGAAGAGATGTCATGCAAATGGAATACTTAGCCTGATGAGTAGATTTGCTGTTGCACCGTATATTAATTGTAGTTTTCTGGAGTTTGATATCCTCATGAGACCACTGCAGTGTAGCTAGGAAATGGCAGTGGTGGTGGACATAGCTGGGACAAGACTAATGTTTGTGCAGAATCTCCTGTATAAAAAGAGTAGTGCTAATGGGGTATCTCAATTAAATTCCTAAGTGATTAATAGATTCTATTACTGTAGAAAGGCTCTCTTATTTCAGACCTTTTTTCACTTTTCTTATTTTCAAGGTATTCGAAGAAGGAGAATGACATGCATACGTAAAAGTGATCATGCGGTAGTATCTGATCAAAGATGTGAATTTATACCTCTTGTACCGGATGTCTCAGAAGAGTGTAATACAGAATGTGAATTAAGGTGAAAAGAGGTTCCTAAGTGATGAAACGACTGTGGTCTTACCTATTTTTGTTGGTAGAGACTGAAACAAAGCAATTGACTGGTTTATCGTCCCTCCCACCACCTTTTCTCCTTCCTTCATTCCTCCCTTGTCTTTCCCTTCTTCCCTCAAATCTATCAATATAATAGGTTTATACATTAGGCTTACACCTTTGAAATTAAGTATAATTAATGTATTTTTCTAATTCTTATTCATGAAGTACAAAGTCTTTTGCTAGGATTGCAAATCTGTCCTCTATATTCTGTCACACAAAAATTGTATTACTGGGTACAATATATTTTTCAGCAGAATTGTACCCTCAACTGGAACTAATTTGAAACACAGACATGTGTTTTTGCACTCCAAATAAGCCCACACTGAAGTGTTCAGAAGATGAAGGGTTAGAATTATAACTTGCATTTTTCAAAGTCTCCTGGGAGACTCCTGGGGGAAAAAAGGACCTTTAAATTTCAAAAGATGAGTCAAATTCTTTTATATTGTTCCGAAAATTCCAGTCGTGATACAGATTTTATAGTTTTAGCCGTTGCCTAAAATTTGTATTACAATTTCAGGTACATTCTTTGAGTGCTTAATTAACCATCGTTTTACTTTTTAAAACATAGTTAGCTTTCTATAACAGTTTATCTTTGTAGGTGGCACAGTATTGGCAAAAGTGACTGCACATCAAAGTGTGGCCCAGGGTATCGGTCTATAGAAATCCGCTGCATGAAGTACTCTGTTTCAAAAGGACTCACTGCTCCAGTGGATGATAGGTACTGTGCCGATCAGCAGAAGCCACCAACCAGAGAGCCTTGTCATGGTGACTGTATGTTGACAAGTTGGCACTACACAGAATGGTCAGAGGTAAAAGTTGAAGACCTTGTAATTGTTGCATTATAGTTCTGGTTAGTGTTCATAACAAATCTTCGTTTCTATATATTTTTTCAGTTTAAATAGCTAAAAGAAAATAATAATTGACAAATCCATTGGTTTTGGAGGAGCTAATATCAATCTCTATATTTTGGTACCTGCTGGATGTAATTCCTCGTATTTTTATAAGAAACTGTAGCTGTCTATAATAGTTTCCAGCTTGTATTTGGACGTCAACAGAGAAGATCTGGGGGTTAAAAGTATGTGTTTTATTTGAAGTCTTAATAATTTAGTTCTGTATGGATTGGAGTAAAAGAGTTCAGCTTTCATCTTCATTAATGAGTTTTATCTTGAAACTGCCAGACAAGGTGCCAAACTTATCTCAAGTTGACATAGTAACAGTCTATAGCTTAGATGTAGTATACGATACATCTGTCTAACATAATCTTTAATGTCTCACGTTTAAGACTGACAGTGCCTTTTGACCTGTATTTATCATGCTGTGTTTCCTGTTTCATAAAATCTTCTAAACACTGTAGTGTTCCAGGAGCTGTGAAAGAGGTGTCAGAACCAGAGAAGCTTTCTGTTTGAACAACTTGGGTCGTCATCTTCCTGACAGAGAATGCCAAGAACTTCCACGAGTTGTAACACAGAGTTGCAATGAATTCTTATGTCCAAGCTGGTCTGTTAGTGAGTGGAGTGAGGTAATGAAACCTGGTCATTGCTATTAAAATAAGCTGCATTGAGCGTTTGTTTTTTGTTTTGGTTATTTTCCAAAGTAAAAGCTATTTAATCCCAGGACTGTGCTGATATGCATCTCAGATGTACAATGGCATGAGAACTTCTGAAAAGCACACCCGTAATTAATTTCTTCTCTGAAATTTTGTTACATTAATATTAGATAACAAAATTGCTTAATCTCTCTAGTCATACATATAAATTCATTTTGTCTGAAACAAAGAGAATTATCCCACCAACTGAAAAACAGAATTAAATCCATTTTATTACAGTTTATGTATATATAATACGATGCTTGATAGTTTAGACATGTTCCCTGTGATATGTGCACTCACATCTTAACTAAGCATTTTTTGTTCTAATGGAAGCAAGTGAGCTGTACATTGTTTTGTATTTTATAGCTTTGGAAACTTAGTGTTATGTGTTTGCATAGATATTTACAAGAAATACAGAGTTCACAAAATAACTAGTTTTGTTGCATGATGAACACATTAAATATTTTTGTCATTTATGTGACCTTTAAAATCCAAAAGATTCCTATAAGAAAGTGAAGCAATTAGCACAAATTCATGTCTTTACAAACTGATGACTAATATTATTTTACAGTGCCCTGTCACATGTGGCAAAGGAATGAAACATCGGCAAGTATGGTGCCAACTTAATGATGAACAATTGAGAGACGATTTCTGTAATCCAAACGATAGACCAGGATCAGTAACACCATGTGAACTTCATGAATGCGCATCTTGGCAAGTAGGGCCTTGGGGATCAGTGAGTACATCAGGATTACTGGCTTTTGTCTTGTATTTCATATTATGAGTGGTCACAAAACAACACCATTTAAATATTTTAATTGGACCTTAAGCAGCTACTTGAAGGTGAATTGGTTCGCACATTTGTTTGTTCCTGTTGACTATCTAACCTGTAATTTAGAAACACCCTTATGTAAGTTAGATGCCTAAAACAGACACTGACTCTGAGCCTTAATATCAAAAATCGCCAGTGTTATTTCACATGAATGTATTTAACTTCCAAAATAATGAAAATGTAGATAGCAAAGCATTCAAATGAATGAGACAGGTAAAAGACCAAATATTTATAGGTGTGTCAGCATATTTAAGTGATAGCTTTAATTTAATTAAGACCATTGAATTATACATGCTAATAATAGCAGACAAAAAGATTTAGTATTTGTTTCTTTTGTTTTTATCTTCAGTGATGAAAGAGTTTCTATATCTTAATGTAAGAGTGCTGTTCCTGTGTCTAATTATGCTTATGTATAGCAGAGGGGCTTCAAAATTCCAGAAAAAGCTGAATTAATTTTTGAAGGAAGCTTTTGTCACCAAATAGATGAGCATTAATTACAAAATAATAAGGTACTCAATGCTGTGGAGCTTTCTTATAATCAAGTTGTCCATGCCAATAGAAATATTGGATTATTTGGTGTTTCTTGTTAGTGAGAACTCATAACTGAACATCAGGTAATACTTATTTTTTACATATAACCTGTCAGTAAAATACATAATAAATGAATCCTTTGAAAATGAAGTATGTATTTAACTTACACATTTCTTTTGTATAGATGTTTTCTCATGTCGTATTTGTTGTTCATGTTAGAGATAATCACACTGTTGTCTAACACAGAATCATAGAACCAAAGAATCATAGGTTGGAAAGGACCTTAAAGATCATCCAGGTCCAACCTCCCTGCCATGGGCAGAGACACCAGCCACCCACTAGATCAGGTTGCCCAGGGCCTTGTCCAACCTGGTCTTGAACACCTCCAGGGATGGGGCATGCACAGCTTCTCTGGGAAACCTATCCCAGTGTTTCACCACTCTCATAGTGAAGAATTTCCTCCTTATATCTGATCTAAATCTACCCTCTTTCAGTTTAAAACCATTCCCCCTTGTCCTGTCCTTATCTGACTGAGCAAAAAGTTGCTCTCCATATTTATGCATCTCCATAAGCCCCCTTTAAGTATTGAAAAGCTGCAGTAAGGTCACCCCAGAGACTTCTTTTCTTCGGGCTGAACATCCCCAGCTCTTTCAGCCTTTCTTCATAATGTTGAATTCCTTTTGGGTAATATTCTGGTTATAAGATGCTGGCATCCTGGCTCCCTACAAGTTAAATGCAAACAAGGAATTAAATTTCTTTAATTTCTTAAAAATTAACCCACTCCACCCCACCCCCAACTTCTTCCCTTACCCCAGGTTTTTATTACTGAGCATGATATTTTATGCTATGGATAATCCCTTTGGAGAATTTGGGTCATCTGTCCTAGCTGTATCCTTTCCCAGTCTATTGCCCACCTCCAACACACTACAGGGAGCAAAGTGGGGGAAAAAAGTGACACTGTCCAAGCACTGTTGGGCAATAACCAAAAATTGGTTTGTTACACTGTTTTTAGCACCATGTGGTCTGCTGTGAAGAAAGTTAACTGCATCCCAGACAGACCCAGTACACATTCCTGTTCATGCTATAGAGAGCTTTAAAATATAAAAATTGTAATTAAAAAAATAATTTGGATTAAACATAGTGCTATTTCAAGTGTGTGAAATTATTAACAGTGTACTGTGACATGTGGACGTGGATACCAGATGCGTGCAGTCAAATGTGTTACTGGGACTTACAGAGTTATTCTGGATGATGACAGAGAATGTAATGCTGCTACTCGTCCTAGAGATAACCAAGTAAGTTAAAAACACTTCTCAGTTGGTTGTGTATTTTAGTTAAAAGATTTTAAAAATGAATGTGGTCTACTGACTTTTTTGGGGAAACTTGCAAGAAACAATTTCTAGAATGAGAAAAAAAATGAAGCTGTCTGCTATTTTTCTCTGCTTCAAATTTGACCTGGGTAATTAAATAAAAGAAAAGTAATAAGGAGATCAGAGATTTGAAAATTTGGTATATGTTGGCAGGGTCAAAAACCTTTCATTACTTGTAAATAAAAATTTTTAAAGACTCCAACACAGAATAATGTAAGGTTGACTGCTTGTCATGATGCTTAGTAATCACACCTAGCAGGCTTGATACTCTACTTTAGAATTCTGTTTGTTCTTAAGAGAAAGTCATGGTTACTTGAGGAAAGCTTTGATGGTGGCAATAATGCTAATTTGAAACAGTATAGACATGAATTTTATATAGTTCAGTATGGTATTAATGTGGTTTTCTACATTTCTTCCCCATCTGTTTGCTTGCTTTTTCACTTCTTTTAATTTAAATCTATTGTTTTTCATAAAAAATGTCTTTAATACAGTCAATGGGTTTATCTTTAACTGAAAACAATTAGTATCTAACATGCTATGTATATTGATCTAGCTACCAGATTGATTCTTCACATTTATATCCGGTTAGGCTGGTAACCACTTACCTCTCTGAGGGCAGGCTCTATACTGATCTATTTTTTGAGAATAAAAACCGTAGGGTATTGTGGTCCAAAATAAACTGGTCACAAGTCACCAGCCTTGTGAGGGCTTCTTGAATAAGTTTTCAAATTATGAAAGCCAAACAGATTAAGTACAGATTAATTTCCACTCCACTCTAAATTAGAGTATGCTTCTTGTTTTGAATTGTGGTATCCGTTTACCTGTTGACTGAAACTGAAGAATTTCTTGTTTTTTGTAACTGAAGGTATAAAGTGGCACAGCCACTTTCTTCACTCAGTTCTGTAGCGCAGGAAACAGAACAGAGTCATGTTCATGCCACTTGTCTCCAGCAAGTTATCTGATACAGTTATTTCTCAAAGTGCAAATATTACTAATTATTACTCATACAGTGTTAACATTAAATAAGTTGTCTTAGCCTCTCAATTTGAAATAAAATAATTTAATAAAAAGCTTTTAATAATGACAGAGAAAAGTAAAAGATGGTAGTTACTGTTTAATTAATGCTGACTTATTGTGATAGTAACATCTGTCTGTTTGTGGGAGCCATCTGCTTTATGTTTGTTTGTTTTTTTCCAAATCTTAGACTTTGAAAGCTTTATGTATTTATTTATTTATTAATCACCCCCACAGGAATGTGAATTGCCCGCTTGTCCAGAAACTACAAAATTATGGACTACATCACTTCCTCTAATTCATGTGGGGAAGGTGACCCAATGGCGATATGGATCATGGACTCCAGTATGTAATGTAATAGTGATCACAGCTGGCAGAGAAATCCTCCATTCTGACACCCATTTTTCCATAAAGGTTTCATTAGTATATCTTTCAGACTGAAATCTCTTTGAGATGATCTTTAAGAAATTCTAATTTTTTTCAAGAACGTGTTTCTTTAGAAGGAGATAGATGCTCCCAGCAAATTCTGTGTGTTTCAAATCTAGCTAGGGAAAATGAAGGGAAAAAAAAAAGGATTTGGGGGATAGGAGATCTGGGTAGAACAGCTTTGATAGGGCTGAGAGTGTTCGAGGAAGTGTGTTTCAAAACAATTTTTATCATTGTCTGAGCATGCAGAACATCTTTCATTTTAAAATATGATTTAAATCTTGTATGTGAATAACAATATTAAATAGTTCGGGTCTTTAAAGATTCAATTTCATGTAACTTACAAGTGTTACACAACAAACTGATTTATACACAAACTCTTATCAAAGAGTGTTTGATTTTTGATTTTCATACTAATGAAAATCAGTTTTGTTTGACAGAGATACGAAAATTTGGAATAATCTATAAAAATGTAGATATTTGTTAATCCCTTGAGGTTCTTAATTAAGCATATAGCACTTATATCTTTGCATAAACCGTTTTAACAAAATAGTAGTAAAGAGTGCATAGACGGGCTACTCAGAAGCCATTTACTAAATCCCCCTGGAACATTTTATCTATAATAGCATCAGAAGGGGCTCAATTTAATATGCTGATATGAACTAGAATGGCAAATGAATTGTGAATATCATTTTTTATTAATATCAGTTGATGTAAATATTGCATCACTGTGAAATAACTAAAATGTTCTGGAAGTTGGTCTCTAATGTGTCTATTGTTAATAAATTAATAAATTCCCTTTGCAACTGTATAATGATTCCATATTATAGTTGAAATGCTTCCTATTAGATATGCTGGATTACTTTCCAAGAGTGAAGGCTATGCATGTTAGTTCCAAGCCAACAAGAATTATTAAGGCCTAAACCATCCAGCAATATTTTGCTTTCCTTCTTGAGTGCATGGCTCTATACTTGTATATTGGTCTGAGATAAAATCTGTTTCTCAGTGTTTAATTCTAAAGTTAAGCTAATACTAAGTAGTGTTAGCATTTTTGATGCTTGCATGGTCTTTTTTTGGCCTCATAAAGTGTGGCGAACATGGATTGTTCTCTGACAGTGCTCGGCATCCTGTGGGAAAGGTGATCGTGCTCGCTATGTAAGTTGTAGAGATGCTCATGGAGGAATAGCAGATGAATCCTTCTGTGCTCATTTACCACGACCAGCTGAAGTTTCAAGTTGCTTTAGCCCATGTGGAGAGTGGCAAGTTGGAAACTGGTCCCCTGTAAGTATTACTTGAAATGGTTTTTTTGTTTGTTTCTAGTTAGAAATTGGGACTTCATATTCTATACATGTATGATTGATTTTGCATCCTTTGGTACAGTGAAGTATATGTTTCTTATTGCCAAAAGTAAATATAAATGTCTTTGGTTATTAGTTATCAATGTTCGATCACAAATATTGGGTTAATTTTTGGTCAGTGTACAGTTACGTGTGATAGTGGAACAGTAACAAGACAAGTTATCTGTGTCAACTATCATCAACAAATCAACGAGAATTACTGTGATCCTGAAGGCCGTCCCTCTAAAGAACGAGAATGTAACATGCCACCATGTCCACCAGTTTATCATCATACTCCAAGAATACATGACCGTCCAAGTAATTTTCCAGAAATAGGTTATCTTCCAATACACCATCCGCAAGACAATACAAACCAGTGGAACCATCCTTCTGTAGGAGGATATCAATGGAGAACTGGACCCTGGGGAGCAGTAAGAATTTATTTTTTTTACATATATATTAATTTGTTATCTCACTTGTGTGTAAACATTTCTAGAAATGTTATTGCAGTATGGATTTGGTCAAAAGAAAAGTACATTTAAAAAAAAAATACCATTATGAAAAGTACATTCAATTTGAAATATAATTTTTGTGCGATTTCAACTTTAAAATACTTCAACAATTTTTATTTGCAAATTTCTGGTTTTAAATGTTAACTCTTTTTTTTTCTAAGTTGTTGTAACCTACACGTTATATGTTTTTCTGATTATGTAATGGTGATATATATCTTTACATGTTTTGGTAGTGCTCTAGTACTTGTGCAGGTGGATTTCACCGTCGGGTTGTAGTATGTCAAGATGAGGAAGGACGAAGCGCTAGTTACTGTGATGAGGCAACAAAACCTCCAGAGTCAAGACACTGTGATTCTGGACCCTGCCCACGATGGAACTATGGGAACTGGGGAGAAGTAAGATCATTTCACTTTCAAGTGGAAACATTATTTACATAAGCTTAGATATAATAATTTAAATGTGAATGGAAACATTTTGTTTACTTATTTAAAAATAACGAGTTTCAAACTGTTTATCTAAAATTTGTTCTTTGATGAAATTCAGAAATCTAGTGTAACTATGGGTAGTGTAAGTATACATCTAAAAGATCAAAGTATTGTGTGATGCTAAAGGTATACAAAATAATAGGAAATATATTATTTTATTTTTAAAAAATACTAAAGTGATAACTTCAGAAATTCTAGTTTTATTAACACGTGCCTGGTATTTCTCAATCCACTGAGTACTTGCTGTAAAAGCTTATAATTGAATGTTGTAGTAGTATATTGAATCTTGAAACAGCCAATTATTTTCCTTTACAAAAAGATGAATTATATGAGGAAAAACCTCAATGTAATAGCTAGCTAGAAACAAACAAACAAAAACAAAACAAAAAAAAAAACCTGCAAGCAGACATACTTGTTATGTGCATGAAAAATGAAAAAAACAACAACAAAAAAACACACCCTCAACCCCCTCCCAAGAAACAACCAACCAACCACCACCAACATAAAAGAACTCCCTCTTGTAACTAATCCCTTGATTGTAGTTATAGATTCAAAGTATGAAGATAAGATCATGCATCTAAAAAGTGTGCCAGGGTTAGAATGTTTTAATGTAATGTTATACATTGTTGGGCAAAGAACAGTTTCTCCATTCTATTGTCATTTTTGACCATGCATTCTTGATCAAACACTACAGAAGATGTTAAAAATGTTTTGTCTGGCATTCATTCTGCTATAACCTTTTACAGTTCCTACCCTCTTCTCTTACTCTTGATAAATCAATATCTAGATTTGATTTTTTCTTCATTTCAAAGAAAAATTGAGTGAATTTATAGTTATTTATTTATTTTCTATTTTGGCCAGATCTAGCTGTTTTGTTTTCAAGTCCAGTCTCAGTGTCACATTTTTTCATGTTTAGTCTCACAAATAGCAATTTTTCTTGAAATAATAGATTTTCTATAACTGAAACTTTTTATATTTTCCATAGTTTGGTAAATTATAAAAATGTAGCTTTGTAAATGTTTTGGTGAGAATAATTTTCTTATCATATGAAATTAAAGTGAAAGTTCTTATTCTTGAGTTGGGCATCCAGGAAACATGAAAGTAGACATAGTAAATAATAATGTGTTGATTATTGCTATATCACTTTACATCAGTTGTATCTGATGACCCTTAACAAAAAATCTGTCTATAAAATTTTGTATTTTAGTGTACTCAAACGTGTGGAGATGGAATAAAGACAAGACTGGTGATTTGTCAGCTTCCTACAGGCCAAATGTTGGGTGATCAAAACTGTGAAATTCTAGACAAGCCACCTAATATGGCACAATGTAATGTGCATTCTTGCCCTGGTGATGTTTCATGGCATCGGGGACCATGGAAATCGGTACGATAGCATTCACTAATATTTTTCACTCTTTGTTCTTTCTGTCACTCTATTTCCCCTTGCCTTTTAAAAATTATACAATTATTTTATTTGATAACAGTGGAATAATAGTGCATGTGGAAATATAGTCGCTGTATTTTTATTAAGCCATTGAATTAAATGGGAAATAGCCATTTACTTCAGTGGGAACAGTATTGTGCTCTGTAAAACATCATAGAGAATATTCTGAAATTTACCAGAAATCATTATAGCTAATAGTGATACCTATTAGGTTGTTCTATTTTGAAGGATTATGATTTGATCTGTGTTTTAATTTAAAAGTATATGCTGTAATTTATACTGTAGTATTATCTACATATTTATATTTGTAAAAAAATCAAAAAAGGCTTTCTAGTGCATAACTTTTCACTAATAGAATATTTAAATACAACCTATCTCACACATGTATATTACACTTTGTCATCAAACAACATATTACTCCATATTACGTGTAAATTTGTGTATAAAGGTTTATATTTGTGGTTTTAAAACAGTGACTAATTAAAATTGTCTGTGTATAATTATGTATGTAACTATAATATGTTGTTGTCTATGTCACTGTCTATTAATGTATAAAAATGACCACAGCAATTACCATTAATCTTTAAAATTGCCACTAGCAGATAATTAACATGGAGAAATAATCATAGTATACTCTACAATAGAGGGTACATTATATTTCCCAAGCTATGAATTTGACAATATTTATTAGTTATTGTGCTCAATTTTAAAGAGATTAATGGCAATCAAAGGATGTTGGATCCAATTTTGGTTCCATTAGAAATCAGTTGAATACCTGTCATTAACATCACTGGGAGATGGACTGGATAACAGTTTTTTATTTAAAAAAATATATAATTTGGTTCTTTGAATAATCGTGGAAACATTAAAAAATTATTATCCAATTTCAGCTTTAAAAATTGATTACTTTATGTAATCTACTCTAATTTATTGCAAATACATTTTAAAATGAAAGCTTGAATTAATGATTTACCACAGTTATCTTTCTTCCACTGGGCAAACAGAGTTTTGGTTTTGTGTTTAACAGACACCAGAGTTCCTTTTTTAGCCGTTATTCAAATAATTAGTGGTGACTTGCTAATACTTTACTAATGCACGTTCTTCAGGTGCTGAGGAGGCAAGCAGGGCATTCGGCACATCATTGCCTTTGCATTAATAGCTTACCTGTAAGTTATTGCAGGGTATTGTAAGTGGCATATATGGCTTAGTTTTGCAAAGATTTTTTGGTTGTTTTATATTTCAGTTAAAGCCAATGCAATCTTTCAAAAACTAAGTTTAGAATGGAATCTAGTTAGCAAGGGAAGAGATTGTAGCTTCTGTTTTATATGAGATTGCAAGTTCTACAGGTAATCAGTAATAATGTTAATTTCATGAGAAATTTCATCTGCGATGTGTTGTTGAGCAGAAACCAACCAAGTAGGTTCAGGAAATGAAAGTAGGCTTACATACTAAATACGGTATTGCTTTTCAGTAGTTTAGCTAGTCTGAACGCTGCCAACACACAACCTTCAGTTAATTTTTGTCGCTGTTTAAATAGAACAAAATTTCTTCATTGAGGACAACTACTATAAAGTAGTAGAAGCTTTAGTCACATAAATACTGTCATACCTTAGCACAATCAGCTCTGTTTAGTCTTCACCTATGGTTGGCTGACTAGTTATATGACAGTCTGGCCTTAGATGATGGCTCTGCCGGTCCCATGCCTTCCTGGAGTACAGTATGCTCTCATGTAGGGTGCTGTTAATGGTACATTAACATAAATGCTGTACATTTAGATGTAGTTTTGTCTAAACCATGACTGAACTAAAAGCTTTAGCTTACTGACTATTTCAGCTTTTACAAAGGCTGATAGTTTCCTTTTGAATTTTATGTTCAAGCAGAAATGGATTCAGAAAAAGCTCGATATTAGCAAAGACTAATCCAGAATCCTTAGAGTCAAGAACCTGAGCCACAACATTGAAAGACTGTTCTAGTTAAGCAGTTGTCAGTGTCTTTTTTGCAGAAATGTGAACCTCTGATGGTGCTTGCCCTCTATTTAGAACATAATTAAAATTGCACTGATCATTTTAGTGATGAATTTTGCTTATACTTTTGAAGAAGTTTAAGGTTCAAATCACTGAAAGTTGGCCATGTACACTACAGTAGCTGTCCACTGTTCTCTCTTGAAATCTAATCAATTACATGTGGAAGTATCAGGTATTTTACCTGTTTTAGTCTTTGAATTGCTTCAGACCATGATGAGCTGGCATCTAGTGATTTGTAATGCTTGGCTGCTTGAGCTTGTTCAGTTCTGCAAAGAAAAGGAAACTGATTAAAATGACTCAGAATAAATTCTTCAAAATAATATTTAATCTGTCTTCCGAAGCAATAAATAAAAGACTTCAGTACCCATTTCCTTATCTGAGTTTAGTTATATCATGTGAAGATAGGGGAGGCAGGCAAGAGTGTTTCTAGTGTCTGCTCTGGGTGGAAAGGCTTTTGCTGTGTCCAGTGCACACTTACAAACTATTTCTTGTAGGACTTTTTTAACAGGAAATATTGAGAATTAAAATTGTGCAATAGAAATAATGGTCCCAGATTTATAAACTTATGTGACTACTTTGTATTTTAAAAGAAGCAGCTTCTGACCACTTCAGATAATTAGCTAATTATTAAGTGTAATTCTGTAACTATTGATGTAATAAACTTACAAAGGCTGCTTGTGAGAGCATATACAGAATGGCAAGGTGAGGTTTGCAGCATGGCAATGTACAGTATCTTTCCATCTTCAGTGCAGGCTGGGTACTTCTATTTTAGGATAATAAGCTTGCTTATACTAAGGGATAGCTCTAACTCAGATGCAAGAAAACATTCTTCTCATGTGGAAAAGAATGTTAGTTCAGTTAGTTCAGGTCTGTTCCAAAAATCAGCAGTAAAAATGGTTTTGGTTCTTCATCTTGATGTTCTAGGCTGATACTTTGTGTAGATATTTTTAGAGTTGTGAACTAGCATTAACTGTACAGCATGAGGGAAGAAGTAAATTATTTATGTCTGAAGTCTAAATTAATGAATGCCATTATCTAATTAATTTTAATCAGATTCAGAAACTTTGATTGTTTGAATTCCCGAAACTTTATTAAGTCCAGAATTTTCATATTCATGCTATCTGAGCCAAAGAAGCACTCTGCAGTTTTATAGATGGCTAGGAAACACAGCCTTTTGCTTGTAAGTTGAATTCATTTGACCTGGAGGTCACGGAGAGACTCTGCCAGTGATCTTTTTATCTTTAGTTTACTTTTTCTGCCCTGTTATTTTTTAGCAGAGACTGAATTCTGCTCTTCTTTTGTTCAGCCTCTTTATCAAATTCCAGAGAAAACTGGAGTGGGTTTACACCGTCACTGCATCCTGAGGGATTTTAGATGATTGCCTTGTTTGTAAAAAATATTGGTGTCAACTCCTAATGTAAATGAGGTTGACAAAATATTATATGAACAGTCCTGAATTCAAATGTTTTAAGATAATGTTTTAGCCTGATTGGCTTGTATCTAAGTACACTACCTCATTTTTGATACATGTAAATTATGATGCATATATATTTTGATGTGTACATATTTATAATGTGTTTGTAAGTTATTACTTAACTTCAGGTAAATACATTCTTTGCTTACTTTAATGGAGTTGCACCACCAGTAAATTTGGCCCATGTGTCCTGGATATTTTTCTTTTAGGCTACTCTGGTTTCATTGGTGAAGGGATTGAGGCAATGATCCAAAACTACACGAAAGAATGAATAAATTACAAGCTACAAAGTATGGAAACCATATGTCACATTATATAATGTCAAGAAAAATTCCATAGCATTCTGACAGCTGGCTGAGAGTACTTTGTTCTAATACAGATTTTTACTGTGTTCCTTTCTACTTTCCACAGTGCATTGTTGGGTTTTTGGTTTTAGTCCATGCGGTAAGACTTGAGGGTTTTTGTATTAATTTTCATCATAGTGGTTAAGGTTTTCTGACCTTAATGACAATAAGTTAATTTTTACCCTGAGCACAAAAAGGGAGAGTATAACAAATTTGCCAAGATAGCATAAGATTTTAAAACTGAACTGTAGTGACTAGATTTAACAAATTTCTCCTTGAAGTGCTTTAGGATAACGTGTCTTTAATTAGTTCAATAATACTGATATTTTATTGAATGGCATCTCCTCTATCTAAATGCTTTAGTATTCTTAGCCAAACTACTGTCTCTTACCTGACAAAAAGTTATGTGGGAGTATAATCAAATCAACAGTTAATCAGTTCAGTGGTTATGCTTAGATACACCAAACCTACAGTGCACGTGGTCTTTTAAAGCTCTTGTGGATACCAGTAATGTAAAGTAGGTATGCTACAGAATAAAATACTATTTTTAGCATATAGTACACAATAATATTAAATGTAATTTTACTTATGAATCCAGTAATTGACATATTTATCACACTCTAGGAGTTTTCCAGGTCTAAGGACATAGATAGTGCTGACTGGTAGCTGATAGATTGACCCACTCTGCTGCAGAGGGTACCTGTTACAGCAGGTTTAAGGACTCCCCAGCTGAAAACTGTCTGTAAAATGTAAGCTGTTCACCTGCCAGGTGAAGTGCAGTACTTGGCTGGGAAAGAATTTGATGCAGCAGTAAGTTAAGAGATTTTTGATGCCAAAGCCCTGGCCTGGTACCCAAGAAAAATGTATAATGTGAACATACTTTTTGTTTTACTCTTCTTCCTTCTGCTGTTCAACAACTGATGACTTGTTTGAACAATTTGTCCTGAAACTTAGCCATATACCAGTTGTGCAGTCAGATAGTGATTGTAGGATTACTTTCTTGTTTACTTTAAAGTTTAAAAAAAATATTTCCTGTAATTAAAGGGACCTCAAATTAAAAGTGGATAAACAAAACTGTCCTAGGACTCCAACTCTTGC